AGGTCTAGATTCTTTAGGCGTTAGGCAGGACATTCTGGAAGGCGGATTGGCCCACCGCAAATTCTCAACGTAAACAAGCTAGCACATCATGGAATCAATGGACTTGCATCCATGTTCCAGTCAGGATTGGAAGCCTTGATCCTAGAGTTGAAGCTGTCCAAAATATTAGGTCCGTATCATAAAACACAAGATCAAATCTGCAACAATAATTAGCTAACTGAATAACCAGCTCCGTTGGTTTGAGCCCTTCTTGAGAAACCCACGGTTACTCTATTATTGGGCCGCGCCATAGCTCAAGCGGTTAGTAGCTGGCTTCCCACCTAGGTGGCCTGGGTTCGATCCCGGGTCTGGTCAAGTGGGATTTGTGGTGGACAAAGTGGCGCTGGGGCAGGTTTTCTCCGAGTACTTCAGTTTCCCCTGCCAATCTTCATTCCACCAATTGCTCCACAATCACCCTCACCTATCATCTGGGGCTGGTACAATAGGTCAGAAGTGGCCGCAGTACAAGGGACTTAGTCCCACACCACTAGCAATAAAAAATACTCTCTTATTCCACTAAATTTTCGCGTACCTGCCGGTGCAGACGGGTCGCTGAGTGAAACACAGAGGATTACACAACGGCATAGCACATCAGGGTGTGTTCCAACTTAATAAGTGAGCAAAGCATAACCCATAATTCGCTCAAGTGGGAAGTAAAATGATAAATTATTTTGATGCAAGGAAATTACAATTTGAATGAAATTGGAGTGTAGTTTAGGAGGACAGGACCGGTGGAGCGTGGCGTGTCTGACAAACACGATATTCAGTAAAGGCGTCTTCCGCCACCCAAGCGACATGAGTGCAGGGCGAGGCACCCTAGCATGCAAATTGTAATTGCGTGTAATTTAAATATCTCCGGGTCGTTTAAAGTGCTGATTCTGCGTGTATCATTGCTACGACGACAGGGAGCAGGAGACCAGCTGGGACATAGCAACATCCTAAACGAAAATTGGCAACCCTTTAGAAGTTGAGCCAAAGGTTTACAATCTGTGATGCGTTAAGAAAAATAAACTGCAAATTTCGAATACAGACAGCTTCACCGCTAGCAGAATTAAACGGACCGTTATAATATAAACGGCAATGGTAACTATTTGTACCCTAAACTTTTAGTGTTAGATTATGTTTCATGTTCATGTTCTACTAATGTGTTCCGTATCATGCTCATAATAAACATAGACTCTTTTCTTGAACCTCATTAACGAATTGGCCTTCATAATGTAGACGCTATGTGTTTTCTGTGAGATGTGGACTGACTTTTAACATATTTATTTGGAAGCAAGTCTTTCTGTCTCAAATGCAACTTATTATCTTGTCCTACTTCTCTCTCATTATATGTTTCGACCATACACGGCCATCATCAGGTGCCCTTGTAAGAGTATGTTGACAGAACTGTACCACTGTATGTTGAAATTAAAATTCCGTATCACGCGTGAACACGCTGTCGATTATTAATTAAATGTGTATTAAAATTAAGATTAGAATCAAAAATTAGGATCAAAATTTCTTTAATATTATTCTACAGTGTAGTCACCAGCTATTCATTGGAATATATTTATTTATCTGTGAGTATATTTTCTGATGTTAAGTGTTGCTGGGCTGTAGTCTTTGTCGTGGCGTGGGTAAAAGTAAAGTAAAACTATCCCTGTAACAGGCCATGGAGGCCCATAGGATTGTGAGATGTTGAGGGTCCCACATTATCTAGACAATCGGCTCATAGATGGCCGTAAGATTTTCAGCCTTATGCTCCGGCCGCACTTTATCCTCAGGAATATTCCTGGTACTCAGTGCTGTTAGAGGCTGAGCCGATCCCAGGGGCCATAGTACGGCTGGAAGGATTCGGCCAACTGAAAAGAAATCCACCTCGTTGAGACTCGAACCCACGACCTTCCGGCTTGTTTCATAGTACCTCAACCAACTACGCTACCGCGTGCCCCCCTGGCTATTATGCTAGCCGAAAGACAGTAGAAGAAACACCATATATACACGGTGCCAAATCCCAGAAGACTGCTTTCTTCATAGTCACCGCCGTGAAAGCCTCAAATCTTACAGAAGAAATTGTGCTTGTGCTTAATCGAGCAATATAACATGAAGACATATGGAGGAGTAGCGGTACAGCTCCACATATTCTTATCCTCGGCACTGAATTGGTGGCCCCAGAGCCGATTTGGAGAACACAGAAACATTTATCTGTGCTGGGATTCGAACCCCAATTTCTTGGTCATCCAGATCAAAGCCTGGTGGCTCTATTCTCTGAGATGTTCCGGCGCTGGGGTAGTGCAGATGCGGCTAAGATTGTAAACCGATCCAGCCTCTGAAGTCTCCGGAGAAAGTAGAACCCAGTGTGAGTCTCCTTCCGTATATTTCTTCGCTATCCCAGGATTCAGTTCTGCAATTACTGAACAGGTCGGAGTCGCGATAGCTCAGTCGGTGCTGCGACAGGCTACGAGTTGGGCAGCCCGGGTTCTGTTCCCGGTAGACCAAATTTTTCTCTTCTCCACAACGATCACCGGCCCTTGTGCTCACACCGTGTCCTATGCAAAGGGTGGGGGGAGGGATTTCACCGAGGCTAAAGCTGCCGGGGCGTGAAGCTTACCACTGATCTCCATCTATTGTCGAGGTCAAAAATTGTGGAGCTATACCTCCACTCCCCAATATGTCTTCATGGCTTGGTGCTTAATTAATTAAAAAAGGGACAACTTTGCCTTACTGAAAAGGTCGGTGTAGAGGTAAAGCTATAAGCTTGTATTCCGGACATTCTGGGTTCGCATCTGGGCCAGAACAGCGGTTTTTCTGATGGAGGATTTTCGTGGTTTTCCTCCATCCCTCCAGGCAAGTACCAGGAGAGTACCACAATTTGACAACCATCAATTTCTTCGTAGTTCATTCGAATTCATCGTTCATCTAGCATTCAGCCAGTCACAAAATTGAAAATACGTCGTTAAACAGCCCACGGAAAAAATATAAAATCCTGCCATAATTTGTTTTTTTAATGAAGCGTTTATATATTGTAGATATTTCCATGGGCTGCAAAGTATTCCTTCATTTACCCCATGCGTTTTGTATTTTTCGTACAGATTCGATAAAATACAAACCACGATTCAAGATATTCCTTAAGGGCAAATCCAATTTTGTGAAATTCATTAAAGGCAAGACCATACGCACACTCATTCATGGAACTGAGCCCTTCTTGAGGAGCCGTCAATTCTGCAGCAACTCAAGAATTTCCCAGCATTTTATGGAAACCGAAGGTTTATTACCGTCTTCACAAGAGCCCTACACTAGTCCCTATCCTGAACCAGATCAATCCAATCCATACCATCTCATCCTTTCTCTCCAAGATCCATTTAATATTGTCCATCTACCTACGCCTTGGTCTTCCCAGTGGTCTCTTTCCTTCTGGCTTTCCCACCAATATCCTATACGCATTCCTCTTCTCCCAAATTCGTGCTACATGCCCTGTCCATCTCATCCTCCTCGACTTCATCATTCTGATTATACTTGGAGAAGCGTACAAGTTATGAAGCTCCTCATTATGCAGTTTTCTCCAACCTCCCGTCACTTCATCTCTCTTCGGTCCAAATATTCTCAACACCCAGTTCTCAAACACCCTCAGTCTATGTTCCTCCCTTAATATAAGGGACCAAGTTTCACGCCCATACAGAACCACAGGCAAAATTATACGAAGTACTGTATATTCTAAGTTTTATGTTTTTGGACAGCAGACAGGAAGACAAAAGGTTCTGGACTGAACGGTAGCAAGCATTACTCGAGTTCAGTCGCCTCTTTAATTTCCTCCTCAATCAGGTTTTTGATTTGTTATCGTTGTTCCCAAATGCTACATTTTGAAAACATCTGTTTCCTATCTTTATGTCAATGTTCTGCCCTGCAGAGACCATACGCACACAACATATTATACTTAGACTAATCTGAGATACTCTCGATTTATCAACTTTAGATCCGTCATGATTTCAAAGTAATATACCAGTCTCAATTGACTGATGAGACCCATAGCCCAGACTCGTACGTGTTCAATGTATTTGGTTTGGCTTAGTGACATAAACCGTAACACAATGAATTCAAGGGTTGAAGAACATTACAAACAGGCATCATCTGAACGAGAAAAGGACAGACACACGACAAGAGTATAAAGGCATGGAAAGACAGGATCCACAGGGTATGGAATGCTCAAGGTTAATCTGTTTCAACAATATTATAATGCATGCTGGTCTATACAACGAATTAAAAATAAAATTTCGATTCATAGCGGGGCATGCAGGTAACATGAGAGGAGTGAGAAATACACACACAATTTCTGTCGAATAACCAGATGGGAAAAGAACGCTTGGAAGATCTAGACGTCGATGGGAATATAATATTAAGATGAATGTAAGAGAAAGAGGGTGAATGGGTGCGGATTGAATTGTTCTGGCTCAGGATTGGGACCAGTGGCTAACTCTTGTGAACACTGTAATAAATTTTCGGGTTCCATACACCTCGGAGGATTGCCTGGTTAGCTACGCAACTATCAGCTTATCAATAACGACTCGTTGCTTGATAGTATCTCGTATACGTATGTGTAACGCTCAGCCATGTATACCAAGACAAGCATTGTGATTACTGCTGTAAGAGATACAAACAGTTGCCCGCGCGCTTAATTAATTTAACAATGTACCGTAAAGACATATGGATGTGTGGAGTTATAGCTCCACCATTCTTGACTTCGGCACTAGATGGGGTGTTAGTTGGCTTCACGCCCCAGCCGCTTTACCCCCGCAGTAACAGTCCCAGGTACCTATTCCGTACGAGTCTGGCTGGGCCACATCGCTGGTCTGGGCGCCGTAGAGAAGAGTTTCTTGTTTTTACTGGGAATAGAACCCCGGTCGTCCAACCTGTAGCCAGTCGATATACTGACTGAGCTATACTTAATTACATACTAAGAAGTATCTCATAAGTACACTAACCTCTGAGGAACAATTATGCTCGTCCATCCTGCATGCTTTTCGTTCTTTCATTGTTGGCCTCTGTTTGGATTGATTTGCAACTGTTTATAAGAGACGTGTATTAACTGAGTCTTCGCTTAATTAAGTATCCATAATTTCTTTAGCTTCACACGAATATTATCAAATTATTTATATTCTGTGTTCTTTCTGGCGAACATGTATGTTCCATACACTTTCACAGTGCCTTCAGTTAACACCACAATATAAGAAAATAAAAATAACACTATTTGAATTAATTATTAGGTTATGTTCATTTCTAAGATAATACGTGTTAGATTTGTTAATTATAAAATTGGACAATCCTAGCAGTATGTAATAAACATTTTAAAGTATTATAATCGTGATTAAATATTTGCTAGACTCGGTATTTAGACACACTGCTACATGTAAAATTCTACACAGACTCACACTATGTCACTGTTTAACTAAAATATATCTTGAATGTTACACTAATGTGTTCAAAACTGATATCTCATAGTGCAGTTTTATACGACTGAATAAATGTTCGCTAGCACACGAAAATTCACACGCACGCCAATTCACGTTAACATCAGTACTGCATGCATCCAACCGATCCAAGCGCCTGGCTCTAAACGTGCAGACGGAATGGCTTTGAGTATCTGCCTGCTTGTAGTCTTCTTACCTCGGCAGCTACGCGCTCTCAATAGCTCAACCAATCAGGAAACGTCTTGCGTGTGACGACACAACCATGGCGCACCTGCGCACATGTGCTGTTTATAAGAAAGAATATTATAATTCTTACATATTCCCCCCTGCCCCTGGAGCCCTTATATTATGTAGCATTTCCTACCTCACTAAGAATCTACCGTCTCACTCCTTCAGCTATCTGTCTCACATTTATAAGAAGATAAAAAGGACAGCTCCGCCCTAAGGTATTAAAATCTTTTCGTATTTAATTAAATTCTACATCACTGTTTTATTCGTTCTATATTCCCAAAAAGCAAGAAAGGATTCCAAATTCTTCTCCATTTTAATATAAAGATCTTCCTGACATTTTAGATTATTTTTTACTTTAATAAAATAAAGCCATATTAATATCTGAAAATTTGCATTAGTATAAGGATTCTCTCTAAAAATTCCTCTGCTCTTATTTCTTGAGAGCTTACAGAACGGATGAAACCGTGTCCATAGCGCAGTGGTTATCAAACTGTGGGGTTAAGGCCGCTAGGAAGGTGAGACTTTCTTCAGACCCTTTAACTTTAATATTAAGTTACGTTCTTCTGAATGTGAAGAACTGTTATTTGGTAGAGAGGCACCAGTATTTCGGGGGGAAGATGTTGCTTCATATTCAGATTGCAATAAACATTTATTTCTATCCTGAAATTGGAGGAAGTAGCTTCCTCCGAAAATTTGGTACCTATTACAAAATATCACAGAGTCATATTCCAGAAGACAGTAATAAAGTAAGACTACCGTCACTAGTCGTTGCTTAGTAAATGTTCTCAACATTGGAGATTCTTCTGCTTCTGTGGTCACGCCATTGCTCGCCGGTTAACACTCCACAACTGAACTTAACCACCGAACTGAGCTCCCAATTATTTTTCACCTCTCGTTATAGACTCGGGTCGGACCTCACGGAGAACATGTGTCACGTGTCAGAATGCGTGTTCATAGGCCCGTTACAGCACTGGGCATGATGCGGACTTCAAAGAAAACACTTCTTCCAATACCTTTTCTATTGTTGCGTGCGTGTAATTCGGGCGTTGCCTAGAAATGGGTGTAGATGCTATAATATTAAAAAGATAGTAAAACTGTCTACTACACAGTCATCAACCATAGGCTAACGTAGAGAAAGTAAAACTGAATGCATGCTTGGATAAATAATTCTGCATTAAATACAAAATCTCTTTGTGTCCGGAATAGTTTGCTGTATGAATAATAAAAGAGAGAAACAGAAAATAGAATATTATAGATGGACTTAATTACAAACTTCCTTCTGCATAGGATCACTCTACTCCATTGTAACAAGCTTACATAACAGATTCTGGAATGAGTAAAAATATCAGTGTCTCAAAAGAAATAAATTGCAAACATTTATGTAAATTACAACTTCCTAACTCTCTCCGAAATTTTTCTCTGCTGTGCAGCTGCTGAATGGGAAGGAATTATGGTCCCGCTTTTCTTCAGGTGCTTCATTCTGCATGATGAGAACGCAAAAGCACTCTAAAGTAATTTTTACACAATTCAACAAATTATTTCTATGCATAATTTCCACTGGTACAGATTCCGAATGCGAAATTTTTCAGATATAACCTCAAAGACTGCGTATAGCCGCCTTATTTATATTTTTAAACCATAAAATGTATGTTTTAAAGAGTTTTAATACGTATATTGCCACTTGGAGGGGTATGCGTAAATTTTTAGACGGGTTTCGGATTAGATGATTGGATTTATTGACATCTTTTACACACACAACACGGAACTACAGGCAATTACCACTAGTGTCTTCAGTCTTCACTAGTCGTATCATTGTAAAGGATTCATAACAGTCTCACTGTAACTTCAAATCACACATGAAGCCTTCCTTGCACAGCCTAATTCCTCTCTTGCCATTATTCTACCAAATACCAACTCCGGAGACTCACTCAGTTCTCTGTTGCAACTGCGAATTATGGAGACTCTCTCAATTGCAATTCTAGCTGAGTGATATTCTCGCTATATAGCCTCGGTGCGGCCTCACAGAAAACACCGCTTCCTCTATTACTGCGTGTTGATTCACTGCTGCGGAGATGTATTTACCGCGCAGCTGAATAGCAACGGGCGCGGCGTGGACCACAGATAACACCTCTCTTCTATTACTGTGTATGTTAGCTTCCGCGGAGATGTGTTTATAGAACCGTTGCCTAGCAATGAATTATTCCGACTCTATTAGGCCCTCAGCCTAATTTCTATTTAGACTGATATATGGCTAACAGGCTTTTTCATCTTATGCTGTAGGTCTACAGGGTTGCTTTTCAATGTAACACCAAAGCTTTCTATTTTAAATTAACAATTATATTCAAATTTAATTTTAAAAATCAACGCGAAATGAAGTTGTAGTTGATATAAAATTGTTTACCTCCGTATAAGGTAAAGATTGAAAACTGCCTAAAGCATTTACATACAAGGAAAGGTCTTACTGTGTGGCCGTATAACAATAGTACCAATTGTTGCCACTTGCGGCGCCTCAGGAAGCAAAGATAATCTCTGGCTGCCTTGTGGCTCGTGACAGTCGATGGTGGGCTACAACTACACATGGGGCCTTTACAGAAGCTTCTTCTGTGAGCTTGGTGGTCTTCCGCTGACCATTCGGTTGGCCACCCGCTCTAAATTATTGTTCGGACAACACAGATCTACGTACTGATAAATTATCTGATGGCTAGATTATGTGTGCTCCCCTTTCCTTGACGCCTTCCAGGTAAGATTCAGTTTCTGTAGGTTAAGTTCTATAGCCAAACATTTTTAAGTTCGTAGGTCGATAGCTTTATGGGAGACTCACTATTAGCTAAGTTTTGTTTGTTTGTTAGTGTGTGTTCTTCTTTTGAATAAGTTTAACTTGAGCAATGCATAGTTATGTCTAACCACTGAGGAAAATTTAGTAACAAGAAATTTCTTCACTTCTTATGTAGGTCCTCAGAGAATGGAACGAAATAGACGCATGACAGGAGCTGGACACTTAAGAAATATGGACATAACTTTGGGGGAAATCCTCTGTGATAAAAGGTAAAGGTAAAGCCATCACTTTAACCGGCCATGGCGGCCCAAAGGGTTGTGAGACGTCAAGGATCCCACATTTTCTAGATAATCGGCTCATAGATGGCGGTGAGGTTGTCAGGTTTACGCGCCGGTCGCCCTTTGACCCCCAGCAAAATTCCTGGTACTCATTTCTGTCAAAGGCTGAGTCGACCCCAGGGCCATAGTAATCCTCTGTGATAATTGTCAGCAATGATGAAGGCACAGACTAGATTTAATATTGAATTTATAAGTTAATATCAAATATGTTTTGATAAAAAATTCGTTAATATGTTATTATGGCTGTTGTCATTTTCATTCAAGTATCTCATCACAAAGTCCGAAAACTTAAGTCGGCAGATTTCATTGGCTGACTGGGATTATTTTCACGGCAGGAAAGGATTAATTGATCTTCTTCTTCACGTCTACAACGATTCAATGACCAACTCGGCCTCCACAAGAATGGGAACTCAGGACTCCTTGTCGGTAGGGAGGGAGTCGTCCAAGCATGAGGCTGCCACTGTCGCTACTTCCAGGACGTGCAGATTCTCACGTGCTTCTATACGTTCTAGGTATGGTGCTTGGTCACAGGGACGACTTTAAGTTTGCTATAAATGATCATAACATGCAAGGGTCTGAAAGCCGCGAATATGTGGCTAATTCAGTTGCTTCGTATCCCGACTGGGATGTTGATGGTTCATTTCGTGGATGTTATCCTTCCTTCCAAATTATTTTTGGGATGGTATCTCAAATAAAGGAGTCTTATTTGTGTCGTCTCCTTTTAAACGGGGGCAGGCGGTAGCGTAGTTCGATGAGGCACTACGCTACAAGTCGGAAGGTCGCGGGTTCAAGTCCCGATGAGATCATTGGAAGTATCCAATTGACCCAGTCCTTCCGGCCGCACTATGGCCCTTGGGTCGACTCAGCCTCTAATATAAATGAGTACCAGAAATTTTCCTGGGGCGTAAAGTGCGGCCGGCGCGTAGGGCTGACAAATGTACCGCCATCTTTGTGCCAGTTGTCTAGATAATGTGGGACCCTCAACGTCTCACAAACCTATAGGCCTTCACGGTGTGTTACAGGTATAAGTTTACCTTTTTTTTACTTCCTTTTAAAGACTTTCCTAAACTGGAAAATATTCGGTAACTTATGAATTTAAAAAGCGTCCCTAAATTACCCGGGAAGCAAAATGTTGTGGTCTATGACACACGCGACTCTCAGTAAACTGCTAATCTCATACGAGAAATATCAGAATATCCGGATAATTAAACTGGTACACCAAAAAATATCTGACTGCACGGAGCATAGTCCTTCATTAGAAGCTGATAGTTGTTTGGCTGCTGAAGAAATTCTCAGTCTTTTATGGAACCTAAATATTCATAAACCCTGAACACTGAACTTCATGCGAAGAAGCATGAGCCTATTCAGCATTTCCACATACTATTTCAGTGCGATCCATTTTAATATTGTCCTCTTATGTACAGAGAATCCGCCTTAGTTGTCATCGTACTTCAAGTTTCACGACTAATACGTTGTGTATATTCTTTATACGTCCCGTGCGCGCTACACACAGTGACGATTTTGTCCTCCTCGCTTTATTAGCTTAATACTTGGTCAAAAATACAAGTTATGGGGCTCGTCGTTATGCGCTGTTCATAAGAAAGAAAAAGTAAATAAATTATATATTCCTTTAATTTCTAATCATTGCGCTTTCTTACAGGATACGTGGAAAGAAAGTTTGTAAGCATGTTGCTAATTAATCTGCTTATAATTTCATAATTAACGTAATTTTCACTTACTACTCTCATGATAGAACTTAGTCTCGTACCTAGTTGAAGAATGCAGTCTTCTGGGATGAGGC